GGAAGTGGGTTTAATTGGATTCAGTTTAGGTTTCCCTTCTTGCCCATGACCACAACTTTATCTAATTATGAAGTAAGCTTTTGTTTAGATACCCCCCTGCCATGAGACCATTTATTAAATAGATCCACGTGTATTTTTTATTTGCCCAGTGAAATTATAAACCTTGAAACCTGGTCTTGGGCTTCTTCACAGTTCCTAGTCTGATTTTGAGTAAATGGTATCTAACAAATATTAAGATAAAATAAGTAAGATTATGATAATATCTATATCTTATGAATTTTAGGTACAGTTTGAATATAAAGGATATTTAAATTAATTTTTAAGTTAAAGATAGCTGGTGTCGGGCACATAAAATCATTCCTTAAAGATATTCAATATCCTAACTAATATATAGTGCCTTCTTTATGTATTTATTTTTGTGTTTAATTGGGATGAATAAAAGAAGCATATGAGTGCATGTGTGTATATATGTGCACACACACACACACCCTACCATTTAAAAACCTATTTGATGATCCCAAGAATCAACCTTACTATTTATGGCAGGAACAGATAGCGTTTATTTGACATGTTGACCTGTTCACCAGTTTGATTTTCTACATTTGAACTTTTCCAACCATTGCCTGAATTTTGGGTTTATCTTTATTGACAGGTAGGGAACCAAAAATATCAGCCTAATCCAATTAAAAATGTCACAGACATATTTATTATTTAATTTCTTCACCAAATATTTTTTGTGTGGCCACTCTTTATCAATTGTATTAATGCATTTCCAGAGACAAATTATTTAGATTGACAAAACTCTGAGTTTTTCCTGGACATCCATGATACTAAATAATGACTTCCCCTGCTCTCTCAGCAGCCATCTCCCGTTCCCATACATAAATGGCAGCCAGCAATGGCTAGAAACAAAGCACTCTCTCCAGGTCCCTGAATACGGTGACATTCATTCTGAGAGAAGCAGGGGCAGCTCTTTGAAAGCCGACTTCTTCAGCTCAACAATAACACACAATGAGTTATTGACTTGTTTATATACGGAGCTCTTTTCAGTAACTAACTCTGACTCCCACAGTCTGGACAAATGATTGATTTCGTGGTTAGAAAAAGAGAAAGCTCTTGCGCTAAACTCTGTAGTGCAAACTACTTCTTCCCCATTTGTTCCATAACTGAATAGGACCTTATTAAAATGCACTTTCCAAAAAAATACCTGCAGCTGCCCTTTATAACCATGTTTTGTATATATAAATAAGTAATTTGTCCCAGTCTTTTGTATATTAACAGACCATTGGGAAACTTGTCAGTATATATGAAGGCTGATTATCCTGTGTTTTATGCTAAACTGTATTTCCTATATTGATCTACATATAGGATATGTATCAAGTAACTTATTAGATCAATGTTCACTGGGGAAAACCCTAGATTTTTGATAGAGAAACTCAGTTTCTTGTTGGGTCATGTTGCTTTATTAAGGACATTATACACAAGACATACCATATACTTAACATTTGAATCATTAGCTGTTCTTCTGAACACAGAGAAAACAACATGAAGAACCACAGTTCAGAACAGTGAGAGTTTGGTTGGACTAATAGGCTTTCCCCCCTTTGGCTAGTACCTATCTGAAATGTCAATATGAATTAGATAGACAGAACATTTGAATTACTATACCTTTTGAATTACCTGTTTGAATTACTATACCTTTTCTAAAGATATTAATAGTTGACATCTAGTGACAATTTTAGAGTATTTTCTCTTGTAAAATAAATTTTATTTTATCTTACCATTGTGTTAAAATTTTTACCCAATCTTATTTTACACTTTAAAATATTTTGGAGGGAGTTAAAAAGAAAAGCCATCAACTGTTAGTTAATGGCACACATAAGATGAGATCACTGTTATTCTGGCTGTATTTCTCCAGCGGGAGGTCTTGAGCCTGATTTCTTCTCTAGGATGTCTACAGGAGAGTTTCCTGAGCTGCAAATGTTTGCAGAATTTCTCAAAATTAAGAGCACTTTCAATTATACTCACAAGGAGCCACATGTTTTATATAGAGCTATGTGGTACATATAAACTATGACCCTTTAGAGTGTTAGAGAGGGTACAGTGCCTGAAACCTTAGCTTTAATAGTTTTAAGTAAAATAGATACAGTCTGAAAAGTAACAGTCGATGAACATCATTTCATTGGAATCTGTTGCTTCAGGATTCCATACTTTCGTGGATTTTTAAAAAAAAATTCCTAAGCAAACTGTTTAAACTTCCTCCTTTTTGTCTTTCATTTATCGAACCAGACCATTTTCTTGAAGTATTTTTGTTCAATTTTCTTTGACAGAGCCATTATCTTTCTTGTTTCTTCCATTTCTGCTACTGTTCTTGACTAGTATCTTGACTGTTCTATTCTGGTTCCCATTAATATTGAATGAGCCCAACTTTAACCTAATTATACTGATGGCTAATGTTTGTTACATGTTTTTTAAATCTTAGCAGCAAGACCTTCCTATTTAGCTTGCTAGATTTTGATGTGCAATGAATATATTTGGCAGTGTTTTCTCAATTTAAAAGGGTAAGACATATTTAGAAAGTGACTTAGTTTCCCCTGCTCCCGTTTTTGGGGATTTGCCTTTTCATGGTTATACACAAATCTTAGTCATCTTTCTGTTTGCTTTTGATTTTTAATTTTTGAAGTTTCTGTCAATTTTTATACATGAAAAGCCAACCTCAGAAATCTCAAACCAATTGACAAAAAATTATTTCATATGATTTAGATAGGAACAGCATGTCAAAAGCATCTAGTTCTGTCTTAATGAAGAAACAGGATGTTCTCATCAAAAGTGACAGGAGAGAAGAGTCCTACTTTTGTTAGCATGTTGTGGGGTTTGAGGGTAAGATGCTGTTAGCATATTATTAATTTCTCAGGGTGAAAATGCACTCTCTTAATTTGACTTTTTAGCTTTCAATAATTTCTCTAAAATTAAAATATCTCTCTTTTGGAATGGCTTGTCTGTTTTCAGAAAGGCCCCATGTGTGTATTTTTTTGGTTTTTTTTTTGACTATTTATTTCTTAATATTTTATTGGACTCCCTAGTTAGGACTATGCATATGATACTTTTCAGTAATGTTGGTATGTTTTTCCCCCCATGTATGTAGACTGGTATAGTGCTTTTTTAAAGTTGAGTATTAGAATGGGTGTGATTTTTTTCCAACTGTGATGCTTTCAAAGGTAAAGAATTCCTACCTTTTAAAAAGTTGCTTAGAAGCAGTTGTAAATATCATGGCCCTGGGAAACCTCATTAGAATCTGACTTACCTGCTGTGACACCGAAGAGTTTCATGCCTCTGTTTTTGTTTTGTTTTGCTTCCCTTAAAAATAGATCTGCTCTGAAAGATTTTTCATTTGGAAAATAATTTCATAAAGAATAAATAAGCTTAGTGAATATTCTCCAGTTGCTGTCTTTTGTACCCACCTTCTAGTGTGATGAAAACTCCCCTAATCAAGAAATAACCAAAGATACTTGAGACCAGTATGTTGTGCCATGGTTCACACATAGACCTCCATGTATGGAAGTTGAACTTGATATTTAATTTTTTATAATATTATTCTTTTTGTATCACTTTATCACACTTTATCCTTGGGGAGACTAATCCTAAGAATAGTCTCACATGATGACTTTTAAAACAATCTTTATCAGTGTTTCTCAACCTAGGGCAGAGATTGACAAACGATTGCCCCCTGGCCAAATTCAACTTGCCACCTATTGTTGGTTTTTATGTCTGTCTATCTGTCTGTCTGTATGTCTGTATGTATCTATTTATTTATTTTTAAGTTTTATTGATGCATAGTCATGCTCATTCACTTCTATATTGTCTATTTCATGCTTCAATGACAGAGTTGAGTAATTGCAATAAAGATTGTATGACCCTTATTCGGTCACAGAGCCTAAAATTTTTACTATCTGACCCTTTGCAGAAACGTTTATATGGAACTCTTTATCTAGGGTGATCATCAGAATTACCTAAAGATTCTGCGCCTCTCCCCTCTACCAAAACATAATCTCTGATATACTGGGCTATATCACCTATCATTGGATGAAGTGTTCATAGGTTTGATACTATTCTTCTAGCATATCTGCACAGCTAGACTGAAGAGGCTATACCGTTTTTTCTCAATATAGGAGTTGGTCTTCAGGCAGGGTGTGGGTTAAAGATTCATGTTAGCTCAAACTTGATTTGCCAGGCATACACTTGAGAAAGTCTACTTAAAACAACAACATTAACAAAACAAAATTTAAAACATGGTCATTATTTATTTTCACTGTAATCCTCAATAAGTAATAGGAAATGGCAAGTCCATTGCTTAAGAATTGTCAAATATTCCAATTCAGAGGGTTCTCTAACAGGCTATTGACCTCTTTCTTTCTATTAATGTCAATCTATTGAGTGAATATTATTCTTTGAGTTTAGCTTTTATCTTTTGTTGAAAATAGTATTTTGTTTCTATAGAGATTATTTATAAAGAAATATAGAATGGGCCACATTCACCTTTTTATAATATTTGGGTTAGCAGGAGTACTAGAAGACTTTTATTTAGCTTTCTAAATGGAGCAGCGTGGAGGCAACTGTTCAGGTATTTAGATACAAAATTCTTTGTCATAAAAGATAAATCATTTAGCACCATTGTAGAGTGTTTGAATTGACACTTTTGGTTTATGTTCTTGACTTCTTATTCTGACACAACAGCAGCCAATTTATTCCCTACTTGCCATGAATGATTTTAATAGAAAATATCAGTCTGGTTTTTTAAAAAAAGTTGCTAGGCTCATTTTAATAAAATTATTTTTAAAAGTACTCATCAATGTCTAATGTCTGCAATTAAGAACCCTCCTCGACCAAGTCATATTTGATAATCCAAACAATCAAAGGGAAAGTGAAAAATTTATTGTGTTAAATGTGTGTCTGGTTGTCAATAGCTGTGTGTTTTCATGTTGTTTATTCATTTTTTCTAGTTGAACCTGGCAGTGAATGAACAGAAGGAGAAAATTACAGAAAAAGTCATTCTTTCAATGACAGCAAAGGAACTCCATAAGGCACAAGAAGAAGTGAGGAACTACTTTGTAAACTGTTTTATAAAACTGCAATGAACGCTAATTTTAAAATTAAAATAAATTTTACTTTGGGTCTTGTAGTAAATCTGCTATTGTTGACTGGTAATGACTTATGATAGAAAAAAAACTGATCAAAACTGGAATCCTTTTATTAATACAGGCAGCCTGAAAAATAATTGTATGCTTGAAAGAATAAATGAAAGTATAATTTTCTGAAAAAATTCTAATGAATATTTTCTCATAAATTTTCTAAATTAGTAAATTATTATATGCAACTTGAAACAGGAAATTATAAAACATGCCAACATAAGGAAAATATTAAAATTTTGTTGAATTTTTAATAAACACTAAATTTTGTTTGTATTATCTGACTTTCTAAGGATAGAATTATTGTTCTGAATTTTAGAAATGCTAACAAAGTTATATTTTATCAGGGGAAAACTGTAGTTTACAAATGTCAAGCCTAAGTGAGCTAATCTTAAGATTCTGTAGGCAATATTGTAATGAAGAACTATTAAAGCAAACCTTCTTCTCTCCAAAGTTCATGCTGTGAAGTTGACAGCATATTCCACAAATGAAATAATAATACAAAATTGGTGTTAGACAAGAGGGGAAAATGATTTTCATGCAGTTTCCTGGAATGCAAAAGCATTTAATCTTTCTGAAGAAAGAACATGAATTTGCTAACTTCCCTGCATAACTGCCAGTAAATAAAATCTATAAGCAACTTAAGGAATAAGATAATGTGAATACTTAAAAGATAAGCTTCTCATATAATCCTCTTTTGACATTTTGGCAAAGAAATCTATCAAAGCTGTAAGGTTTTAATATTTTCTTATTGTGATTGCATCTTCTTTACCAACCATGTATTTTTATAATAGATGAACAAGTACAATGAATCAAATTTTCCCGTGTGAAATTAGTTAGAAACCATATGAATATTTGAGACATATATGTCATAAACTTTGATTATCAATCTCAGCAGAGAACATTTCATAAGAAAATTTAAAATTAATTTCCAAAATGTAATAAATAACAATTGTGTAGATTTAAGTTATAGTTCTGACTCATTCCACTGAATATTAGCAAGTTAATAGACTAGGTTGTTAGTTATAAATTTAAAAAACATCGTATTTTCTGTGTTTGAAAAATATTTTACTAGAATTGGACAGTTTTATTACAATTTCACAGTGAGTTTAAAATCAATCTAGCATGTATCTTTTAAACTTTGGGAAATGCAAATAAGTTTCATAGATTAATTAGCATAATTAAAATTATACCTAGAACAATACCATTATTGTTAGAGATTAAATAGAAAATAATCTAAAAGGATGAAATACTAAGTATTTTCTTCCTTTTAAGCATTATGATTATTTTGTCCTTTGATATTTTATGTAAAATTAGTTTCAATGGAACAAAAAACCCGAAGTGGCCCTGGAAAATGATTATTATGCTAAATATATCATTTTTAATGCTACCTCATTAGCAACAATGAAAATGAAAAATATCTTTTCTGGAAAATCCAATAGTATTTATGTTTATTTGACATTTCTTTTTTATCATCATCATCTTTGTATTTATTTAGCACTATATACTTCAGTGTTTTTCCTACACAGTGCCTAATTTGTTCACATATTTGCTTTATCAGCTATGGCTTGAAATGTCTTTTGTTTGCCTTAAAAATCAAACACACGGTAAAGGAAATATGTTTGTGTGTGTGTGTGTGTGTGTGTGTGTGTGTGTGTGTGTGTGTGAAAGAGAGAGAGACAGAGAGAGAGAATCTCTAAATATGTTCCATAGCCTATGAGGATAATTTCTATGTGGTTACTTTGAAAGTGATTATATTAATTTGGATGTGTAAGATCTAGTGTTTTGTTGAGAAAAAAGTCAGTGACATTGAGCTTTAGCCCTAATTTACATATAGAGATGTGAAATCCAGATGGAAGAGATAAATGAAAAATTTGGGGGGAGAAATTACTTCAATTTTTTTCTCATGGTTTATTTTTTTACACAAATTTTACATTTCTAGACATATCTCAAAACCCAAATTACTCATCATAAAATCTGAGACTTAGCTCCTCTTCTGCTGTTTATAGTTTTATCTTAAAATCTTTTGTTTCATGTAATTTTTCCACATGAAACCTGGGAATAATAATAATGTATGCGTCATAAGACTACTTTGAGGTTATTATGTATGTTAAAGTACACTAAGCTTTTTGGAAATATGCATATAATCTATTATTGTCAATTTAAAAATGTGTTATTCCTGAAATGTAGATACCAAGATGGGATTAAATGTGTAAAAATTTTATTATGAGCAATGTCTTAGAGAGAAAATGCAGAGAGCTCTGGGTAAGGTGCTGGGTAAGATCTATCAGACTGAAATGGAGCTGACCCCAAGTGAGGGGATGAGGAAAGGGAGATTGAGAGGAAGCATCTTAGACTACTGTGCAGTCTAAGGAAGGTCTGGCAAAGCTGTTGGTGTATCCCTAAGCCAGAGGTGGCCATAAAAGGAGTCCTGTGATTTCCATGGGTGGACCTGCCTTAGTCTCCTCAGCCATTGGTACCAAACTGATGATGGATTTCAGAACACAGCAGAAGGCCCTTGGTCAATTATGCTCTTGTAGTTAGAAGTCTGGGAGGCACAGTCTCATAGCTGCCTCAAAAGGTATAGTTGGCATCATCCTTTCTGCAATCAACATAGCCCTATACCAGGTGAGTCACGAAGACATTAAAAATGTCTCTATTTTTCAATTGTCTCTTCCTCCATGAGTAGATGGGTATGTTAGACAGTTGAATAGGTCTAAAGGCAGCACATAAGGGATGCTTGGCTGAAAACAGGCCAGATCAACTTCTAAAATGTTTCTGATCTTGGAAGGGCTCTAGAAAACTATTAAAAATTTGGTAGTAGTTAAAGCACTAGAGATGAGAGGTGCCACTTTCTTCAGGTTTCCTGGTAGTTACACTGCAGCTCATCCTTCAATCAAGAGATATTTAACTTGCTTACAGGCTACCATATCTTTTCCAGTCTTCCTTCATTGAATCAGAGTTATGTTTACTTCTTAACCTAAAAAACACTGTACTCTTGGGCCTGAATATCCATTTTCATCTCCCTGCCCTCTTTCTGGTTCACCTTAAATATGTCGTTAATTAGAAAGTTTCTTGGTCTTGAGTTGAAATGCTGACCTGGCTTTGAGACCATCTCGTATGTTACATGCCAAGATGATGTTCCTAGCATAGAGGCTGCCACCCTTTGTGCTGATTTCAAGTGACAGTTCTGTGCAAAGTGCTCTGGAGTTCTCCTTAATAACATGAGTGGATTCAGAGCTACACACAATTCAGGCTGACAGCTGACTAGAAAAACCAAGAGCTCCTCAAAGAGTCATTAATAATAGCCAATGTACAGTATTCACAATGTATGGCTCAGAAAAATACAACTTTAATATGCATACTTTTTAGAATGATTATAAACAGAAAAATGTTTTCTGCCGACTATAAATTATCTTGATAATTTAATTGAATTTAAAGGTTGCATGCTTGCATCATACAAACATGGCTAAATTGCCCTATGTGTTATGTAAAACCCTATGTGTATGATTATAGACATGTGCACAATTGCATTCTTTCAGAAGTTTGGCTTGTTTCCTTACCAGAATATTCAATATTTTTTTTTTTGCTACTTTCTGCTCATTTGTCACTCTCCCAAATTCTGTACAAGTGTCACTTCCGTGCTGCATTTCCACAGACAATGAAGAGTAGAATGTGTAGGCTTTCTGGTGCACAATGAGATGGTGCATTTTTTCAACATATGCATACGTAAGCCTTCTTTTGTGAATGGGACCGATAGGGTCAGATAATGTTTAAAGGGAAAGGCTTTATGTCTCTCAGGCTTCTATGTTTCCACATGGATGCCTCCACACACACATAGATTGAATTATGAACAGATCCATTAATGCTGGGATCACAAAAGGTCAAGTTTTGTCTTCTTTTACCCCTATTCACATTGCCTTTGTAGAGAAAAAAAAAAGGGATTTGCAGGAAAAAAAAGATTCATGATGAAGAATTTTAAAGAACATTTTCCCTCTTTTAGCAACATCTGTGATTTGGGGGAAAAAATCATATTATGTAAAATAATTCAGGAGTATTGTATTACCTACCTGATTTTAGTACCTGCATTATTTCTTGTGAGGGTTGTTTTTAAGGGTGACATATTATCATAATAACTGAGAACAAAATGTAGCACTTTGAGGATAAAAGACCTTATGAATATGTAAAGTAACATAAAGTTTCAGTAAAATTGAATGAAAACATTATCAAAATATCAATGGCAGGATTCTTGATATATTTTCTCCTTTGTTTAAGACGTAAGTTAATCTTTGCTTGGACATCTTATTTGACCAGCTAAAGTTTAAAAAAAAAACAGGTGATAGATAATTTGTGAGATAATTTGTGTGATTGTGTAATTATGCTTCACATACATTAATAGATAATTCCGAGGTCAATGAAAATAGCAAAAATGATAGAGAAAATTTTGGAAGCAACAAAGAATCCACCCAGATGAAACTTTTAAGACTTTAACCAATAGCTTTTTAGAGTGCAAATGATATCATCAATTGCATGGTTGGTTGATTTCTGATGTCACCTGAAATCCTCTACCAGTGAAAGGCTATGGATTGTGACAGTAAAACCAGCCACGTATAAAAATACTCTCAAATAAAAGTCTGAAATTTCTCCTTTTTTGGGGGAGGGGGGTAGATTTCTATAGCAGAAGGTGAAGGACATAAAATTAAAGAAAGCAGTATTACTGACGAGCAAAATACATTTCATGATCCTTAGCAGACTTTAAAGACTATGTAAAATTATATTTTCCTGAATCACATGATGCTGGGGATGAGTTCTGAGAGAACCAGTGCTTTCCAGAAATGGAATCCTTCCATTTAGGGCCTTTGGTTCTTGGATTTTAATTTCATCAGATAACCATAAGAGCAAGTCACCTGGCCTGTTTTGGTCTTTAGCTTTGGTACATTATATACTATTATCCTCAAAGTTGATGGAATGTAGTATGATATAATGGCAGAGATGAGGTTGAAAGCATTGACTAATACTGGATCATCTATCATTTTCTTCTTTTTTTTTTTTTTTTTTTGGTAGCTGGCTGGCATTGGAATCCAAATCCTTGACCTTGGTGTTATCAACACTATGCTCTCACCAACTGAGCTAACTTGCCAGCCCTTCATTTTCATATTTGAAATGTTACAACCTTATTATTGGGGTAACAGTACTATGAAAAGCACAGAAATTCATTCTAGAATGTGAGAAAAGGAGGATCATGACAGGTCTGTCACTGGATTTTATAGCCTATAAATAATACTCTTTCTTCTTTGCTCATTTTCCGTCAGTCACCTTCTCCTTTTAATTTCTTCCCTTGTCTTTTCTTTCTTTTTCTTTTCATTCATTCTTTCTTTTTCATCTTTTTCATTCTGTCTGCCTCCCATAAGACTCCTCCCAACCTCCCCGTACCCTCTCTACCTTCCTGCTCATGATTTCCAAAGTTTCATCCAAGTTCCACTGGTGAACCCTGAGGGGCTTCCTTATGAATGGATAATAGAAATTTTCATAGACTTTCATTTCACTTTACAGTTAAGAGCTACCTATTAGTAAACTACTAGATGAGTTATATAGGGTTACAAAAATTTAGTAGAAAGCAATATATTAAATCAGCTTTGGCTAGATTGTGTTGCCTAAGTCAACAAGCCCAAGATCTCAGTGACTTAAAACAAAATATTTTTACTTGCTCACTTTATATGTTGGCTGTACGTTGTCTGTGACTTTCTCCAGTATGTTTTTCTCAGTTTGGGATACAGATTGAAAGAGCAGCCTCTACTGGGACATTGCTGTTTTCATGGCAAAGAGAAAAGAGCCATGGTAAAACTGCACAATTCTTAAAGCTTCTGCTAAGAAGTAGCCTATGTTACTTCTGCTCACACTTCATTGGCCAAAGCAAATCACATGGGGAATTCTGGTGTCATATATATGTCTGCCAGAGGGCCCCATCCACCATCCCTGTCTCTCTTTGAGTTCTGCAGTGTCCCTGCCCACCTTTACTTCCACTCCTCAACATCTGTCTAGCCTAATGGAAGTTATTTCCAAGACTCAAGGGATTGCTGTATAAAGTGAGGAGGATATTTGGGAAAAGTTTGTAATGTCATTGGAGGAACATGACATCAATACATAAACCAAGTACAGTACACAACTGACTTTGATTAAATGCCATATATCCATATCCAGGTAATGAATGCTGGAAAGCCTGGTGGAAGAAGTGTGATTTAAGTGATGAGTGGATTTAGACAGTAGAGAAGAATGAATTGTGAAACAGCAGCTTAGGCATCAGGGGACCTGGGCTCTAGTTTCAGTGCTTATACTAACTCTCTGAGTGTCCTGTACAAAGATGTGTATGTGTGTGGTAGGGGGAAGGGGACAGTGAGAAGACCATCTTGTTAGAAGGGAGGGGTCTGGTGGAAAAATGAGCCATAAAGCCAGGTGGGGAACAGACTACAAAAGGTCTTGAATCTTGAATACTTAGCTGAGGAATCTGGGGGAGCAACTAGATGGTCAGTTTGCTGTTTGGTGGAGGTGACAGGATGGATTAGAGGGGAAGGGACGGGGACAGGGAGACTGCTTAGTAGGTATTTTGGTAATCAGAGACAGGGAGGGCATGAGGAGATGGTGGCTTGGACCAGACTATTACTTATAAGGAAGGAAAAGGATAGAAAATATATGTATTTAGAAGAGGGGTCCACAAACTATAGCCCTGAGGCCAAATCCAGCCCACTTCTTGTTCTCGTAAGTACTCAAAAAGTTTTATTTGAACACAACTATGACCATTCATTTACATTTTGTCTGGCTGCTTGTCAAATACAACTGCAGGATTAAATAGTTTTGATAGAGACTTTATGGAACACGAAGCCAAAAATATTTACAGTGCTATCTGGCCCTTTATAGAAAAAGCTTGCCAACCTTTTATTTAGAAGAAAGGATTGTTTAAAAAAAATTGGTAGACAATTGATCACATAGGAACAAATAAGAGAGATATGGGAGACCAATTAGGGAAATAGGAGTCATTTTAAATTAGCTTGTTTATATGCATAATGCTTGCAAAGCTCTTGGTAGAAGTTAAATGGAATTGAAACAAATTATATATATTCAAGTCATATGGATAACAGTACAAACTTGCTTTCATTGACATCTTTTAACCCTCTGTAGAAGGGATAGAAATAATTGATTTAATATCAGAGTTGGATTATTGACCAGGGCAAATACCCTATTTTCAGCTGAGAGAGATAGAAAGAGGAAGAGGTATCAGTACATTGGACAGTCTTAGAGAAGAGTTTCCCATTTTATCTGTGGACATTGAAGTGAGCTGTAAGATCTATGAAGCAAATAGTTTAGAATTTCTATCTGCCTCATGTGAAATAGGGGTAGGGATAGGAAAGACAGACCAAGAAAAAAACCATTAAAACTTGATATGCAGAAAACACCTAGATTTTAAAAAGGAAAGCACTATAATAATACACCTGTGCATTGGGCACCTGCTATAGGTTAGACATTGCGTTGTTTATTACTTAACTCATTTAATTCTCAGTATGGTGAGGCCAGTATTTTTCATTTATGGATGAGGGTTTTATTACCTGTTCAAAGTCTCCCAGTCAGTAAGTGGGAGAACTAGGATTTTAACACAAGATTTTGAAGTCTATGCTCTATTCAGAGTCATTCATAATTCTAAATGGGTCTAATTTTATTACTTTAAAGTGAATTTCTGCTCTTCGTCTCTTTTAGTCACTACCATGTATCAACCGGTGTTTATGTAAGAACCCAGTCTATTAGACAGAATGTAAGTTTATATAAAACAGTGAAGAGTCAAAGAATGGTAATGACTTTTGATTTGTAAACTATATATGGATTTAAACATTAATTTACTATTTATGAGTCCTTAGCATGTCTTATAAATAATCCATAAATAAAGTTCATATGTTTGTCTTAAATATACTAATTAGATGTCCACAAATTTAAAAATCAACAGTATATATTTCTTAGCCTTTGCTGTTACTGGAAAAAGTCTATGCTTTATTTGGACATTGATATATGTTTAAAATATTGTCTAGAGCAAAGCATTGTCTTTGAAGTATGGGTATTTTGAAAAATTACATTTATGAAATTTGAAAAAATTATATTTTGAAATATTTGGTTGGAAGATAGCAGGCTTATTTTAAAGGTCAACAAAATGTTAATGAATTTAATATATGTATTAAAATTTTGAAAATGTAACACGTGTATAGTAAAATAAAATATCCTTAAAAGGAAGGTACATATAGTAAAATGAAATATGGTAGTAGGTAACGTATATTGGATTATTTAACCTTCTAGGAAGGTTTTATTTTGTGAATCAGTTTAAAAGTTCTTTGCAAACTTGTCAGATGTGTGTTTCTTTTCATATCCAGAGATATTTTTCATTTAGCAATTGTAAATGGCTACCTATTCCATATAACTGAAATGAAAAGGTTAGATATTTTTCTATAAATAAAATTTGTTGATGAAAAAGTGTTTATCTCTTCTATTCTCTTTACTTGAGGATAGATCTGTACTCAAATTCTTGTATTGAAGTCATTTTCCCCCCCATCAAGCTAGGTACTCAAAAATGTAATAGGTGTGACATCAACAATTACTTCTCACTAACAACTCTTGTAATTTAACCCCTTCAGGTGAGCAGACTGATTGATGAATTGCAGACAGCTATCAAAAGCAACAGAGGTCATCTCTCTAAACTTGGCCCCCAATTACAGGCTGAGCAGGAGCAATTCTCCTCTTATATCTACCAACACATTAAAAGCCTTCCAGCAAACACTTTTATCCCAGGAGGACTGCAGCTCAAGGTGGGTGTCATTCTATGTCTTTCATTGGATTCAGCCAGAGGGGAAAACACTGCTCCATTTGAAGACCCTGTAACAATGCTGTTCAGCTTGAATTTCTTTTTATGTTGTCTTTCTCAAACTGGAGTTTGGCTTACAAGTGGTAATATTACTATTCAGGAAATAGATTTTAAATGAAAATATGTAGAGGCCTTTGAAATGTGAACTTATAAACTTTAACGAGAATTCAACCCAGAAAAAAAATTTTAATGAAGAAGTTTAATCACGTAAACATTTGCATACTTTTCCAAGAAACATATTTTTCACAGGAGTCACTGTGTATTTCAGTTTCTAAACTTATTTGGAGAAATGGACAAGCTTTAATAATTGACAGACAGTAGCAATAGAAATTGGAGGTGAAAGGCCAGGTGACTGATTGATGTTCAAACTACATTTCCAAGGAAAAGGATCTGTATTGGATAAGTGTGACACATGTCTGAGTTCACTTGGTAAAATCAATACTTAAGAATATACTGGCAAAAAGGTGAAATGGTTATTTGTCAGGACAAGATGGCTAAATGTCCTAGACTATTCTGCCATTGCATCTTTGGAACAGAAAAGGAATAGCTCATACTTGGCCAAAGTTGTTTAGGTACTAAAAGTGTAGGGAATTTAAACACTTTTGTTTTTCATAATAGAATAATATCCAGGTTAAGTCTGTCAAGTAACTATCATTCTATAATTTCATATCTCACATTTCAAAAGACTGTCATTAGTAAAATTTGAATTATTCAAAGTATGGCCTTTTTTCCATCTAAGGAGATACTGTTACTACAATTCTTCATTTCCCTTTGCTTATTTATTTTTTCTTTTTATTGTAACAAAGTTGATTGTACATATCTGTCAGGTACAGAGCTGAACATCAACATCCACATGCAATATATGGTGCTCACATCAGAATAATCATTATATTCAATAATATACACTATCTTTGCTATGCATGGCCCTTTACCCATTCCTCCCTCCCTCCTTACCTTCCCAGCTTCTGGTAGCCCCAGTTGTCCTTTTCAAAGTTCAATGTATTACTGGGAATGTTGTATCTTTCTTTCTTTCTTTTATTTATATGTTTATAATTTTAGCTCTCACTTATGAGTGAGAACACACGGTATTTCTCTTTCTGTGCCTGGTTTATTTCCTTTGCTTATTTTTATAGGTGTGTGATATTGTTCAAAGTTAATGGTATTTTGATCAGCCTTCATCTCTACAATTCCTCTTTCTTAATACTCAGTTTTATTCTGAAAATAACATTGTATTTTCTGTCTGTAATTTGTTCCTTTTAATGACATTTCCATGTGTGTATTTTGAATGAGAACATTACCATGTAAAAATTGACCTTTCAGGAAATGTAATTCCATGTTAAACACCATAATTTATTTTTCTTCATCTGTGATAGTCAGCTAAATGTTTAGGAAGAAGATGTTCAAGACATCAAGGTCATGGGTTCCCATTGTCCAGCAGCAGTGTTCTTTTCCAGGTTTTTGACTTGATTACAGATCCATTGTGCCATTTTGCAAAGTACTTGCTGTTGATTAAGGGAGAAAGCAGGTGAGGGAGTATGCTTGCCTTAATGCCGTTCATCCCCACTCGTTTCTATCAGCAATCGTCATATGAACTGTAGTGTGACCTGGAAAAAAAAGTTTTATCTCCCTTATAAGTTCACTGCTTATTTCTGAAGAATTTCTACCACTTATTCACATGAGCACATGGGCTTGATGGCAAATATTTAGCTTTAGGATCTGAATTGTTACTCTCAGATATTCCCTTTTAATATGCTTCCGAATTCTTTTCATACCAGTACACAGAAGAGGGAATTTATACATGTGTACTTGAAAAAGTTCATGGAAAGATTTGAATTATCTTTTAATTCTGTTTTTCCATGATCTTTGTGAAGTACCCTCGTACATGCAGAGAAGCCATGTTGTTGAATTTGTTTAAACTCACTGTGCTGTTCAATACATCTAGCCACTAGCCACATGTATGTACCTATTTAAATTTAAATTAATTAAAAAATTCAGTGCCTCCAGTGTTTTTCCAGGGTTTTAGCACTGAAAATCTCACATTCAGCAAACCAAAATGGTTAGTCACCTTAGTCCTGTCTGCAGAATTCCCTCTCCCCTGTCTTAGGCATCCTCCTTCTTTATGATTCTTTCCCCATGAAGTACTCAGCTCCATTTGCTCTCTCTCCTCTCGCCTCAGTTTTCCCCTTTGGAATGTCCAGTTCCTCTCAGAGAATAAATTCCTCTTCCACATCCCAAGAAACCTGGATATCAGTTCCATTCTCAGGCCTTACGGCAGTGTTTTCAATATTGGCTGCATATTAGAATGAGCTGGAGACCTTTTAAAAAACATCAATGTCCCCATCCCCAGAAGTTTTGGTTTAATTGGTTTGGTGTAAGGCAGGCTTCTACTGACTTGCAAGTACTGATCATTAGATTTTAAGGAAATTTATGAGTCATTAAATACATTCATTATTAGAAATGTATATAAACTTATGTAATTCAATCGGTCATATTAAAAACAAAGGTAATAGATACCCTTAATCTTCTAATTAGGTAGTTACTATTAAATATTTTCTTGAAGTTAGTTATGCCTATTGTGTTTGTTTAATGCAAACACTTTATAATGGTGTGCTACTATGCATCTCTTCCTAAGTCTATTTTTAGTAATATCTTGTTGTAACTTGAAATTGGCTATAGTTGGAGTATTTATGTAACAAAAATTGGCAAATGCTATAAATGAGGGCTTGAGTTAATATTTTGTTGATTGTCTAGACCACGGAGTTGGCAAACTACGGGCCATGCCCAAATCTGCATGTGTTTTGTAAATAAAGTTTTACTAGAACATCTATTTGTGTATTTTCTATGGCTGCTTTCACATTACAGTGGCAGAGTTGAGTAGTTGAGGCAGAGACCATATGATTTTAAAAGACTAAAATATTTACTATTTGGCCCTTTACAGAAAAATTTGCTGACCCCTGATCTAGACTTATAATATTTACAATGCAGATTACCCATAAAGGTGAGAAATTTCTGTATCTGTTACATTGTGAATAGTAAAAAAATTTCCAGTATTTTTTCTGTATAAAAAAGCTATTATCTGATTCAGCAAAGAAATTGCTCTTATTGTTGATTAATAAGAGCAGTCCTATATTCATCTTCCTTGTTTCACTTTTGTCTTATTAACATGGATGAAAATATCAATCAACATTCAGGTTAGAACGGCAGTCATTTCTCAATTGCAACCATAGGCTGGCTGTGGATACAAGACCTGGAAAAAAATCTGTGAAGGTATTCTGTGAGAATCAGTTGGCTATGTGGAATTTAAGATGAAGAGTATTATGTATTTATTATTATTTGCACATTATGTGCTATAAATTTTTTATATTAGCACAATTTATAATAATCACCTCCATCCTCAAGCAGGTTATTAAACATTTACTGGCACATAGTCAGGTGTGGTCCAGGCATCAGTATTTTTTAAAAGCTCCCAAGTAATTAATTCTATTGTACTACAGGTAGGGTTGAGACTTATGGCAGGATTATCAAGGCAACTTTTTAAACATAACCAAAAGCACCATACAAAGAAATTCTCACTCCAGATTGTTAATCAACTAAAACTTTTCTCTATACTTTTACATTAGTAAAATAGGAAAGGCTAGCAGTAAAATCACTTATCCCAAAGTTATGGAAAGGAAGAATTTTCTCCTTTGAACATTAGTTACAAAATGAGCATTTTTGTATTTTTATTTAGTATTTTTAATTTTTCCTTTTTGAGGTATGTTTTCAGAGGAAAAATTAGAGAGCAAAGAAATAGACTTCTGTGGTTGGAATAACCAGACTTGAAGAGGTATAATAAATGAAGTCAGCTAGGTCTTATGTGCTTAGACCCACAGCTAGTTTAAATTCTTTCTGATGAGTAGGTAACTGCCTATATGGGCGCTAATTAAAAATCGTTGCTAACTTCAAACATTTGAGACAATAGCATCTAAAGATAAAGTAGGCATAAAATATATCCAAGTTAACGGCAATGAAAAGGAATGCATTTGTGAGGTACAGGAATACCTATGTCTGTATCTGAATTTTAATTTCTTTAAATCTTCTAATAATCTGTTGTTTACTAGAAAATTACACAAGTCAGTAATAACTTTTGTTTTTAAAAAGAAAGCTTTCTGGCTTATGACAAATTTTTTCACATCAGAAAATTGTTAGGGCCGGCCCGGTGGCGCACTGCTACAGTGCGCTGCTTGGGAGCATGGCGGCGCTCCCACCGAGGGTTCGGATCCCACATACAGACCGGCTGCTCACTGGCTGAGCGAGGTGCGGGTGCGACGCCGAGGGTTGCGATCCCGTTGCCGGTCCCGGTCCGGTACGGGCGCGACACTGAGGGTTGCGATCCGTTGCCGGTCACGAAAAAAAAAAAAAAAGAAAATTGTTAAATAAAAGGGGCCTTAATTTACTGGTGTGCATTCCCAGGTGTTCCACGTCACTCTCTAGCACTCACCCGAATTGTAGAAAATTCCAGGCATATAAAGAGGTCTTTGGCATTTTCAGAGATTCACTTCAAAGATTCCTGCAAGACAGTACTGCTTTCCTACTAGATCCCCACCTTTTCCTTCCCCTGGCAGAGGTGGGCTAGGCACAGGGTCAATGAAATTTCCAATTTATTTTTCTCCTCTCACTGCTTCCCCTTTTTCCATCAGCTAATGATATTAATTCCATGTTTACATGAAAATTCTCTTATTACCTGCAACATAAGCTTTCTCAAGCTATCTCAAATAAAAAGAGGATTTGTTGAAAATATATAAGGGAATCTTATGGAAATGAAAACCAGGAAATATGGCAGAGTCTCACATGAAAATCACTAGTTTTCCATATCTCTTTCTCTTGAAGCCCCATGATCTCTTATCTCTGCATCTCTGTGAGATTTTTTTTTTTTCATTTCTTGTTTCTTTCTGCAGGCTGGCT